GAGTTAGGAAGAACTTAGTGTTTGAAAATCTGTTGAACAAGTTTGATTTTAAACTTGTATTTGAGGTAAATAAATTTATTCTATCTAAGGGAAAAATTTTTTGTTGGGAAAGAGTATATGTATGAGAGAATGTTCAAACTCAATATTATTAATAAAAATAAGAATGTTATTTCTGCTTACATGGTTGAATCTTCATATTTATGGCATTATAGACTAGGTCAATTAAATTATAAAAAATTGCATGATATGAGTAAGTTTCTGTTAATTTATGAATTTAGTCAAAACATTAATAAATGTAATACATGCGTCTTGAAAAAGATTACCAGAAATCATTTTCCTAAGGTTAAAAGAAATATAAAGTTACTTGAGTTAATTTACAGTGATAATTGTGATATGTATAACACTTCCACAATATCTAGAAAGAAATATTTTGTCACATTTATAGAAGATTGTATTAGATATTGTTATGTTTGTCTTTATATTCCAAAAATAAAGTACTTGATAAGTTTAAAATATATAAATCTGAAGTTGAACTTCAGTGTGAATCTTTTATCAAGTGTTTGAGGTCAGATAGAGGTAGAGAATATTATAGTCTAACTTATTTTGAATCCTCCGAAATAATCCACCAAGTTACTACTCTTTATACACCACAACATAATAGTGTAGCTAAAAGGAAGAACATGATCTTAACATAAATGATAAATGCAATGTTATCATACTCTAGTCTTGGACTAAGATTTTTAGGTGAAGCTTTATTAATAGCTTATCATATACTAAATAAAATTTCTAATAAAGAAACAAAAATAACCTCATATGAGTAATGGAAAAAAAAAAACCAAAACTTAATAATTTGAAGGTTTTGGGATGTAAAGTTGTAGTTAAAATTTCAAAACCTAAAAGGAAAAAGTTTGGTGAAAAATGAATAGAATACATATTTATAGGATATGCAGAAGTATTGTAAAGCATATAGGTTCATGGTTTTTGAACTAAATGATTCAATTTTCAGTTAACACTGTTATTGAATTAAGAGATGCAATTTTTTATGAAAATTTATTTAAATCTATTTGGAGACAACTATAAGTAATTCATCCTACAAATGGAAAAAAAATTTCAAATCCATTGGAACAAACTAAAATTAGTGATAAATCTTGTCAAGAAATAAGGACAAGTGAAAGGGTTAGAAAAGTAAAAGATTTTGGACCAAACTTTTTTATGTTTCTTGTGGAAGGGATTGTGAAAGTATAAACAATAAAATTCTTTATTGTTTTAATGCAATGTCTGATCCTATTACATATAAAGAGACAATAAAATCTCAAGATTTTGCTTTTTGAAAAGAAGCAATAAAGGATAAAATGGACTCAATAATGGGAAATGACACTTAAATTTTGGTTAACCTTCCACCAAGTTCTAATCCAATAGGCTGTAAACGGATTTTCAAAAAAAAAATAAAAGTGGATGAAACCATAGATAAATTTAAAACAAGGTTGGTAGCCAAGAGCTTTACACAAAAGTAAGGGATAGACTACTTTGATACTTATGCTCTAGTAGCTAGAATTGCTACAATTAGCTTTTAATTTCACTGGCCTCGATTTATAATTTAATTATACATCAAATGGATGTAAAGGCGACATTTTTAAATGGTGGATTAAAAGAAGAAGTATATATGAAACAACCGGAAGAATTTATTATTCCAAATCAAGAGTAATAAGGTTTGTAAGCTTGTAAAGTCCTTGTATAGACTTAAGCAAGCACCAAAACAATAGCACCAAAAGTTTGATGAAATCATTCTTGCTAATGGTTTTAAAATTAATGAGTCAGATAAATGATATATAGCAAATTTAAAAATGGCAAAAGAGTCATAATATGTTTATATGTGGTTGATATGCTAATATTTTGCACTGATTCAGAACAAGTTAAGAAAATAAAAAAAAAATTATCAAATAACTTTTCAATGAAATATATGGGTGTACCATACACTATTCTTGGAATTAGAATAATCCGAAATGATAGTGGCATAACCTTGTCACAATCGTATTATATTAAAAAAATACTTAAAAAGTTTGATCTTTTTTATTATATTCTAGTATCTACACCCATGGATTCTCAACTGAAATTAGTATCTAATATTGGTAGAAAAATCGATCAATTGCAATCAGCAAGAGTAATTGGTTGTATGATATATGCAATGATATGTACAAGGCCAGACATAACATTTGCTATTGGAAAGTTGAGTGAGTACACAAGTAATCCAAGTAACTTGCATTGACAAGCAGTTAAAAGAGTACTTTAATATTTGAAGAAAACAATCAATTATGGATTTTGTTATAGTGGATATCTTTCAATTATAAAAGGATATTATAATGTTAGTTGGATTACTAATATGAAAGATTATGCATCTACAAGCAGATAGATCTTTGTACTTGGTAAGAATGCCATTTCTTGGGGTTTCAAAAAAAAATATGCATAATGAATTCCTCCATGAAAGTCAAGTTTATTGCATTAACCGTAATAGACAAAGATGTTGAATGGCTAAAAAATTTATTATGTAAAGTACCTTTATTACCTAAACCAATTTCTCTAATTTTTATCCGATGTGATAGTGAAACAACTCTAGTAAGGGCATATAGCCAAGTATATAATGAAAAGTGTAGACATATTGGATTAAGACATTGTTATGTTCGATAATTAATTTTAGATGGAGTGATCATTATAAATTATATGAGATCAAGTGAAAACTTGGTAGATCTTTTAACAAAAAGTCTTGTTAAAGACTTGGTAAAAAAGACCTCAATAGGGATAGGACTCAAGCTTATGAAGTAAAGTCACACATGATAGAAACTCGACTCAATACTTGGTATAACATCAAGTCTTAAGTTCAATAAGATAAAGCACATCATCTGTATGTGACTATTAGCATTATAGTAATGTTTAATACCATCCTAGGTAAAGTGCTAGGTACCCGTAATGGTAAAGGAATGATGAGTAACATATTCTTAATAGACCCATAACATGAATACGTTAGAGTGTTATAGTTATGGGAACACTCTTGATGAAAGCTACTTATGTGAGTATGAAGTGTGGTCATTTCTAAAAGCTTAGCTCTAACAACACTCATGAAAGAAGATGCACACACATAGCCATAAATGTATCACCGGATACCAAGCATTTATTAGGTGTTGAAATCATTGTGTGAGATAAGTTCGATTAACCAAATGGAATAATTGGTTCAAGGCATAGTTTACCATGCGATTTTGGTTAACTTTAACTTGTTTTTACTAAGTGAATGTTTAAATTAGAAGATAAATATGGATTATTTTAAAAATAGTGGAAGATTGTTAGAGATTTTTAAAATAAAATATAAGAAATAATCCCATACTGAAAAAGAAAAAATAAAGACAGATAGTTAAATCTATTCAAAATAAAAAGATAAGTCTGTTCAAAATGGATAGTTTCAACTGTTAAAAAATAAACAGTTTTTGTCTATTCAAAATAGACACTTATGTTTGTAAGAAAGAACACTTATCTGTTTATAAAAGGCTCCTTTGATTTTTTGAAAATATATATAAAAACAATTATTGCAACTCTCCCTCTTTTTTCAAACTTCATATTTCTTTTATAAAAATTTTGCTACAAAAAACTTTTATAGAAGTTTAGTAATCTTGTGATACACCAGTGATTACTTAGTAGAATGAATTTGTTAGTGCAAAACACAGTTAATTATTAGGCTTCGTTGTATTTTCAAAGTTTATTACCTGCAACCTTTTTACACACCTATTAAGTAAATAATATGTTGGGGGCAAATAAAACCTTAAGAAAAGTGGCATCATTTTACGTCTTGAAGTCTTTTCTCAAAATTTTAGATTTACCAGAAGTAGTAATTTTATATTTTCAATGTTGCTCCAACATTTTCCTTTACAGAACTCTTATAAGGTTTATCTTTAACACCAATCTCACGATTGACGCATCAGCTCCTTGTTGTGGGACTTGCACTATAATTCGAACCAATGGTATGCTCACAATCCTTTAAGGAAAGGTTATCTCTCTCTTGTAGGTTTTTTTTATATGGTGTTAGACTATGCTTCTTTTACCTAAATGGGGATAAGAACCCCTACAGCCTTTAAGTTCTTTCATCTTCTCTCATCATGCTTGAAACTTCCTTAAGTGATCTTGATCTCCTGCTAGATTGTTCTATGTTTTTCCATTTTGCCCTATTCTTTTTTTTATTCTTTTTTTTTCAAAAACCATTCTTTCTCAATTTTTTTTCATGAAGTCTTTCCCTTTCCAAAATTTTCTTTTTTCAAAATTATCCCTTTAGTTATTTTTTATTATATAGATGACATGGTCATCAATTCTAAGTTGGAGACTTCTTTTATGGTATTTATAGATAATAAATCCTAAGAACTAACAAAAAAAATCCAAATTTTGTAATTAGAAAACCTAAATATGTAATTAGTGAACCAAGAAGAATCTTAAATGTGAAACCTAAGAATGTTGAAATTTTTCTTTCATTTTTTATTTTTTCTTAATTTTTTTCTTGGTTTTTAAATTTTATTTATGTAATAAAATAATTTTCACTTAATTCAATTTTAAAAACATGCATATGTAATTTTTTTTTCAAATGAATATTGACATAGGTAAGTTAACTGACCTAATAATCATATCATGATTTTTCATCTCAATTAAGTTCATTTGACAAAAAAAAAAAAGATTTAGAGATCAATTGACTTAAACAAAAAATAAGAATATAAATGACACTTTTTATATAATTAGAGAACTTATTTTATTCGTTATGCCTTTTTGAGAAATAGAAAATTTGCGTGGAATAAAAATTGGACCAAAACTTTTTCTTTTCTTTTTTCTTTAACTCTTGAACCTCGGGTGGCAAGAAATGGGCCCAATAATGAAGTACATTGTATTTTTAAAGACCAACAGCCCAAACTTTAGGAACTAGGATTTACAGTCTCTATAATATATATATATATATAGATATAGATATATCAGCACACATTATCTTTATCTGCGGCAGCTCCAGCCTCTGCCTGTAAATTATTCTTTTCTTCCAAAACCCCAAATAGCAAGCTAAAACCCTAATTGGGCTGTGATTTTATATCTTTATTGAAAGCAGCTTAAGGTATTATTTTTTTCTTCTAGACTAGATTGTGTTAATTGTGGTATTCTTGGGGGTGGAGGGTATATTTTCATCTTTTCTTTTGACTCCTTTCCTTACACAAATACGCTTTTTTCTTTTTCGGATTTCAGCTCATCACTCTCTCTTTTGATTATGGCTACCAGTAAGTCCCTGCCCAATCCTTACCTTCTCTCTCTCTCTCTCTCTGTTTTTAACTATTTAGCCATTCGGTTTTTATGCAGGACTTATGTTCGAGAACTCATGCGAGGTTGGGGTTTTCTCTAAGTTGACCAACGCTTACTGTTTGGTTGCAATTGGAGGATCTGAGAGCTTCTACAGGTTTGGTTTCTCTCATTATTCTTGTTACATGTAACTCAACTTCTAAAAGGAGAGTCTTTTTGACTTTTGCCTCTTCCAGCACATTTGAGGCTGAGTTAGCAGATGTCATTCCAGTCGTTAAAACATCCATTGCAGGCACTAGGATCATCGGCCGTCTTTGCGCAGGTCCTTTTCATATATCTACATATTTGCTTTTGTTTCTTTCCCCACAAATGGCTTCTAACTGTTAATCTCTCTGCCTTCATGTTAGGGAACAAAAATGGTCTTATCTTGCCGCACACCACTACCGACCAAGGTCATTCCCCCACTTTAACAAATCTATTTCATTGACCTTTTACTCGCTTCTTTATATTTAATTTACCTATGAATCTGCTTCACTTGTATGCTGTTTGCTCAAATGACTTGTTCACCTCACCCTCATTTTGATTGTTTTGCCTTTCTTACTAAAGAGCTTCAGCACTTGAGAAACACCCTACCTGATCAAGTTGTTGTTCAGCGTGTTGACGAGAGGCTATCAGCCTTGGGGAATTGCATAGCATGCAATGATCATGTTGCTCTTACACACACTGATCTTGACAGGGTAATTTACATTGCTTATGTCGATTTGATATTGCCTCTATTAATTGGTATTTTCTGTAACTTATTTTTGATTTGATAGTTGTTTTAAAAATGGAGTCTATAGTTGCATTTTGTTAATAGATGCTTTATTTCTTGTTTTTAAATTTTCTGCAAGTGTATACATTTCACCTGTTTTACATGTTATCAAAGCAGACACTGTTGAACATTTGAGCATCTATATGCCATAACTTCTCCAACTGGGATTATTTTCCACTTACTATCTGGTTCTAGGATGTTGATTTTAAATTTCATTGTACCTCATGCTGGAAGCTTAATAATGAATTGGTTTATAGGAATCATGTCTATGATATCTCGAATAGATCCCTTTTGTCAGGCTGACTACCAATTAGAGGCTAATTTGGCCATGTGTCTTATCATATTTGAATATATAGTGTCTATGGATATAATATGCATACTCCTCTGTTGTATTGATCAGGAGACAGAGGAGTTGATTGCAGATGTTCTTGGAGTGGAAGTCTTTAGGCAGACAATTGCTGGCAATATTCTTGTGGGCAGCTACTGTGCCTTCTCTAATAGAGGTGGCTTGGTAAGATAAAAAGGATCTACTTGTTACTGCACCCAGCAAAACACATTTTAGTTCTACTTTTTGGTTTAAAACTAGTAACCTGTTGCTTTGTTCTTGTGCAGGTCCACCCCCATACGTCCATTGAAGACTTGGATGAACTTTCGACTCTCCTTCAGGTACCTTTGGTGGCAGGGACCGTTAACCGTGGTAGTGAAGTGATAGCTGCTGGCATGACAGTGAATGATTGGACAGCATTTTGTGGGGCAGATACCACCGCCACCGAACTCTCTGTCATTGAGAGTGTTTTTAAGTTGAGGGATGCCCAACCTACTGCTATTGTGGATGAGATGAGAAAATCTTTAATTGACAGCTATGTCTAGTTCTGTATGTTACTACCATTATAAAACTGAGGGCACTAGCTGCTAATTCTTGGTCTTATGTTTAAGCCTATCTGCACTTTTGTTTAATATATCAATGTTCTCATTGTATCACTTAGAGAAGGCATATGTCTCTAACTTAGTCATTTTCATTTACTCTTTATTCAGCTGGATTGGAATCCGGATTCTATGATGCTTTTGTTTTAAAGAGGAATGGATTAGATAGATACTTGAGTTGCTAGTGGATGATGCCTGAAGCATATCAATAGGAGAATGTATCTTTTAAAGTTGTTTAGTCTTGCTATTTAGTTTAGTCTTTTACTCTGCCATTCTTGATGTCTGGTTTATATAGAGCGAGAGGGTCCTGTATTGGGTAGCCCTGGTCTATTGCTTTTATCCCTCTCTCTCGGGTGGAAGAGGCTTGGGTGGGGGAGATTTGTTTTGTTTGCTGTAAATGCCCCTTCGTCACTGCTACAGCATCTGAGGGGACCTTAACAGTTTCAACGTCAAGTACACTGTACCCCAAAACGATTTGCAGAAATTTCCATCCCCCGTTCTCTGTCGTAAAGGTGTACCTGTATGACTGGTGGGAGAACGCAGGGCGTCCCTGAATTCACTCAGTTACTAATGCTCTTGTGCAAATTTAGACAAAGCCTATAAGCATTGGGATCTTAATACACAAAAACATGGGTGGCAACAAAAATAAAAATAAAAATTAACAATCATATATGTCAGTAGTATACGTTCCCTTCAAATAAACTGTTCTGTTGAGTGAATCACCAGCACAGAAGTTGCACACTGTGTACTTGGTTTAAAGCCTGTTTCCATCTATCTCTCTGCTTTAAAATTATGATAGAAGGGCATGAGAGAGCTTCCATGGGGATTCAACCAGTAGACTGACTCTGAGAAACCAAAGTCTGTCCTGCAAGATCTCAATTCCAAAACCATGCTATTCCCTGTATTGCTAAAAGAATAAGATGTTAATCAAGACTGAATGCCTTCAAATATCCATGATAACTAATTGAAAACCACCACAAATTTTCCGCGATGTTATACTTAGAAAGTGGCCTGGTGGCATTCCTCAAGACGTGAGATTTCAATCCTAAGCAGGGCTCAATACACAAGTGCGCAAAGCTTCAAACTAGAAGGTGCAGGGAAGCAGGTGGCTGTCACACTCACATCCGCTTTTCAAGACTCGGGCTCCAAAAGAGCCACGTTAACCCCCACTAGAAAATTGAGACGGTAACTTTTAGTGACAGGTTGATTTTCGAATCTCTTTTTGTTTCTTCTCTATTTAGCTTAAACGAAGAAAATCTACAAAGAAAGAAGTTCAAAAGTTGGAGTCGACGAGTGATGCAACTCTCTCCATTTCTTCCAAAATTCCCTCATTCGAAAAGGTTTGGGGGGAGAAGGCTGCAAAGCTGGCCATGAAAATGGCTGCCATCTTTGGAGGTGACAGCGATGATGACGACATATGAATGATCAACGTGGGTAATTACTTTCAGATTGATCATTACTTAATCTCAATTGTTGTTCAGAATTTTGGAAGATAATGAGGATATGTAATTGAAATACAAAGTTGATGAAGAAAGAGCTTCTTGGACAATTTATTGTCGTCTTTCTCTATGTTATTGGTAGTCATGAGGCTTGAATGTACAAGTTTGTGCTTAAGCTTAAGCTTAAGAGCAGGCATTTGTTGCAAGAAGCCCGAGTACTGACAGTCAATTTTTTTAAGTGGGAAAAGGCATGCTTGTGGCGTGACGTCTGCATATTGACTGCCACTTTTCCTTAGTTGGAAAAAGAAATATCATGAGCCTGCTTGCCAATATGTAATCTTGTGAATGGATGGGGAAATTAGGCAAAACAGCAAACTGTTTTCTTGCATTGAATCGGAAGCGAGTGTATTTGTCATAAACGACATTTAACTGAACATTAAAGGTCGTAAATTATCTAATCTAATGGGGAGTGTAGTGGACAAATCATAAGTTTTCATTAGTGCCCGTTAAATCATGCATAGCTGGGAGGAGAAACCATCGGCTCTCACTTTATTCAACTGACCCATATAACCATATGAGATATTTGCGACTCCATTCTGGGAGGATAACCTCGTATGGGTGGCGGGCCCTCACCTAAACTACCATAAATTTCAAAAGTAGATGAGATGCCTCCTGTAGGATAAAGAACCCCGGGTTTTCAACCCTTCACTTCTCTTGGCTTCATTTGGTTGGATAAATGTGGATCCACTTTTAGGATCTTTTCTTTCCAGTATTGATTGCTTCTGAAAGTGCAAGTGCCCCATCTCCGTCAAGCATGAAACGGGAATGCTAAAAGAAACTAGACAAAAATATTTATAGTAGCTGTTAATATTGTAAATGATAGGGGAAAACGCATGAGATACAATTTTCTTCGTTCCAATTGTTGCAGCACATGCTAATCAATCAAAGTAAGGGAAAACGTGGCAGTTTGCACTTCGTAGCACCTTTGCAAACTTATATTCTGGCATGCTAAGGGAGAATCAATTGCTCCTTTGGCCTTTACTCTTTACTCTTTGCAACATTATTGCTAAGTAGGAATCAATCACTTTCCACGAATAAAGTGAACCGAAACCTTTACACCGAGAGTTGCCCTGTAGACGTTCTTTTTTTTTTTTTTGGTTTTCTTTTTCCATTCTTTCTTTTCTTTTAGACAACTCTCTCTCTTTTTGCTGCATAAATTCTCTCTATTTTTCCGTTCTGATGTCTCAGACTGCAAAATATTTCTTTTTCTGTTGGTAAGCTGGTGTTGTGCTGCATAAAAAAAAAACATTGGCATAAAGCTCTTCAATTAATGTTAAGTAATCATCCAGTCTTTTCAACTAAAATTAAATAATTATTTAAACTTTTATCATTATTTTATAATCAATTAAGCTTTTAAATGTTTATTTTCACTAATCAAATCTTTATAAGATTAAAATTGATTAATCGACAAAATCTATTTTAAGAGATTAATTAAGTGAAAACAAATATTTAAAAATTTAATTAGATAAAAACAGATATTTAAAGATTTAATTGAATAAAAATAAATATTTAAAAATTTAATTGATTATAATAAAATGACAAAATTTTAAATAATTATTTAATTTTTATTTAAAATTTTTTTATGATTTATATTTAATGCACATAAATACCGATTCATTGATGAATAAATTTTTAAAAAATTATTATTTTAAAAAATTATTATTTTTATATATTTATTTTAAAAATTAATATTTATTTATTAATAAAATATAATTTGATTCATTGTATATAAATTTCAAACACAAAGATTGCATCAAATATAATTTTTTTTTCTAGGATATGCTTAAGCCAAAAAACGTTTTGAGAAAAAGACTAGTAAGTACTTACTAAACAACTAGAAGTACAGTTCCGCGTAGGTATAACATATGTAATGTAAATAACCAAGATTAATTACAAGGGAGAGTTAAAAAAACAAATGAAAATCCGGACTGATTGTTATTCCAAACTGCTAAGGCAAGAAAGAGTTCGTTGCATTGGAATTCTGTTGTGGGGCCTTCATTTCAGCTTCAGAAACAGCAGGGAACTGGCCGCACCTGTGACACCTGGCCACCACTAGTATCTGACGACACGAGGGACACGAGGAGTGGGAGCCAAGCCAGGTGTCTACACAACCCACATGGAAGACATGCCCACACTGGGGCAATACCCTGATCTCATCTCCCTCCGCGAACTCCCCTAAGCATATAGCGCACTCCACTGATGCAAACTTTGCAGCATCTTTGTCGTACATGTAGGTGAGTTTGGGGAGAGATTGAAGAACCTTCTTTTTGAGACCTCTGTTGGCTGAGGCCTGAGCCTGAGAGGCGTTGTTGTTGGCGTCGATAGAAGTTCGTCGACGGCGGAGACATGCGCAGCGCGCTACAGCTATGAGACCCACCACGCAGAGCAATGCACAAAGGAGAGCAGCTAATATCACCACAAAGTCAGACTCCACGGTCACTGCCTGATCTGGCGGAGGAGCCTCAGCGTGATGAGCTGTTGAGAGGAATCTTTGAGAACGTGTCATAGCTAGTTACGACCTTCTCCTGTATTACAGGTATAATATATGTTGCTCTTCCTGGAGGCTGGATCTGGAACAAAAGATCAGAAGGCCTGTTGCAAGATTGTTTGAAAGAAATTTTTGATTTCCTTGATTTGGAATCAAGTATGATGTATGTAAATGAGTAATGTGAGATTAATGCGTTTGTCAGGGTAACAAACTCAAACAGAACAAAAGAAGGTGGGATGTTACTTTGGAGGATGGGGTTTAATTTGAAACAATGGTAAGACAAATAAGTTGAAATAAGAAAAAGTTGGGGAGTGCTAGGAGCAGGAGAAGATAAGGGGATAGAGAAAGGTGGGCGGCTCGATCGGATAAGAAGGCGCATACAACTCTCTCTCTCTCTCTCTCTATTGATACTTTTAGTAGTAGTTCTCTTCTCTATTATATAGATCTCACTAGATTGAGAGTTTTATGATATAATTTTACCCATTTAATATGGATATATTCATATATTAATTTTTTTAAAAGTATATTTAAATTTTTAAAATTTATCATATATAACATTTGACTTTTTTTAAAAAATAATTTTTTTGAAATAAGTAAGAAGAAAATGACATATCTTTCATTTGCATAATTTTTGTTTATATAATATTTATACACCTATAAAATTATATCAAATAAAAATAAATTATTTTAAAAAAAAAATAAAAACACATATATTATTAAATGATAAATTAAATAATAAAATAAGTATTAGCATATTTTTACTTTTGTAATTTTGACTAAATTAATTATAAAACATAAAAACTATTAAGAGATATGTGAAAAAATAAAAAAATAAATTGAAAAAATATTATTTTCATAAGAATGAAATTACAATAGTAATAATATATATTTTGAAAAAAGTTGTAATCAAAAAAATAAAAATTAATATAACACATTACATTTATAGTTTTAAATTTGTAAAAAAAATTTTGAGTGACAATTGGAATTAAATAGATGATTTTTAAATTAATTTTTAGAATTTAAAAGCAATATAATAAGTGATAAAAGATGAAATCAAATTTTTTATATATATTTAAAATATAAATTTGATAATTGGAGTTGAGATAAATATAATCCTATTGATAGTCTAGTTATTTAAAAATTTAATATGAAAATTTGTTTGAATTTTTTGTCTTACCTAAATTTTTTGAAATATTTTTTATTGATTCAAATCAAGATATAAAAGGATTGTTGAAAGATTTGAATAAATTTAATCTTTGTAATTTTTAAATATATTAATAGATTTTGATAATTAAATAATTTTTTAAATAAGGTTATTTGTAAACAACTAAAATTATTTATTATGATGATAAAATACATATTTAAGATTTTTTATTTTAAAAATTATTGATTTGATTTTTTATTATTATCTTAATAATTTTAACATTTAAATAAATTTAAATTTATCTAATTTATAATTTAAAAAATTCCTACTATTATTATTCAAAAAAATTGTTTACATAAATATTTATCGAGTATCTATATATATTATAATATAATAAACATATGATATGATTCTTTATGTACCAATAATTAAATTGTACAATTGATTTTTTTAATATTTCAAATTGTTAAATTTTGAATCTTAAAAGATCAAATTATATGATTAATTTCTTAATTTTAATCAAATTACCTTTTTTTTTGCGTTTTTTAATTTTCATCCAATCGCTAAATGGCTCAATCATATTCATTCTTTAAAATTGATGAAGTATCAGTGGATTGACTGACATGTGTAAATTTTCACTGATTACATGGATGATTTTTAATTATGTGGATTAAAACCTCATTCACTCTCTAAAGCGTCACGTCCTTTTTTATATTTCTCTTTCTAAAACCTATCCTGACAACGAGAGACGGACGTATATGGTAGCCGGAAGGGGCAGCTGTCCCTTCCTAATATTTTTTTGGGTTATTGAAAAAAAAAAAATCAAAAGTTTTGAAAATTTAAAATATTACCCCATTAAAAATATTTTTATCAAATTTACCCCCATTAAATTAAGGTCTACACAAGAAAATGTTTTCTTATTTATCTAGTAATTGAACATTGACTCTTTGGATGCTAAACAATTTCATTATATTATATATTTATATATAAGTTTGTTAAAAAATTAAATTACTTTTAAAGAGTTTAAAATTATTAAAATTTAAATTTTTCTTAATAATATATTTAAATTAATATGAAGTGATTATATAAAGATAGCGAAATTATTGTTCTACTTAAGTAGTTTTAACCATTTTTTTAACACAAAAAAGTAACAAATAAAATGTGAAATAATTAAAAAATTATTTAAATTTATATCTTCATTTTTCCTTTTATATTTTTATTCTTCAAATTATAATGAATAAAAAATAAATATGTTTATTTATTTGAAATAAATGATAGAACTACATATATTAAAAGTGAATAATAAAATTAGATATATTAATTTTTATATTATTCTTTCACATATTATATCTATCTTTAAGAATTTTATAAGTAAAATTTTATTAAATTATTATAAGTGTTTTTATATTAAAAATTAATTTATTTAAATATTATTTAGACTATATTTATTAAGAATCATATAATTAATTTTAACTATACAAACATTATTTTTATAACAAATAAAATTTTTGTTTACAAAAATATATTATACATCTTGATTTTATATGTAATTTTTTATATGAATTTGCATTTCAATAAAATATTTGTCCCCCGTAACCACAAATTCTAGATCCATTCTTGCTGACAACCTCTCTTTAAACTCAGATTTCGATCACTGTTTTTTAACGTCGGTCGCCGCCCTTCGCCGTCGGCAACCAACCAAAACCCTTCTATCTTCCTCTCACTTTCATAAACCCCCGTAATTAGCTTAAATTTTCAAAACACACTTTCCTTTTCACAAAAAGAGCAAAACTCAAAATCAAAAAACCTTAATCCGCCATCTATTATTGTCGCCGGCACCATTTTCTCCATCTTTTTTTCCCTTCTTTTAATCGGTTTGTTTCTCCATCCTTCTTTTATCATCTTATCCTCCTAAATCATCAAAAAGTTCAAACCAAAACCAACCCGAAACCACTAAACCAAAACTCCTTTCTTTTTCTTTTTTTTTTTTTTTTCGTTTGGCTATGAAAAATGTTGGCGTCGGGGGTGTGGGTTGGGGTTGTTCCACTGGTGTTTCAATGCATATAAGAAATCAAGAATTTTATAGGTCCTCTATTTTGTTTTGTTGTGTTCTGTTCCTAGAGAAAGAGTGAAAATTATCTTTGCGAGACGGAAGGATGAGCTTTAAACTTTAAAAAAAAAAAAAAAAAATTAATAAACTTTTGCATTTAAATTACATCAAAAGTAAAATGGGTTATATAAAAAGAATTGCAAAATCTAACTTTTATACTTAACAAAGTAATTAAAATAAACAAAAACAAATCAACAAGGTAGCATTTAATTTTCTTAAGATTATCATGATAATATAATCATTATTATTAAAGTGATCTTATACTTGTTATTTAAAATCAATTTATTTAATTAACAATCATTAATTTTTAAAAATTAAAAATTATTGTATTTGACACAAATAAAAATTAAACATTATTTTGTTTAAAATTACAAAAATAACTGTACATATTGTAATAATTATATAAATTAATAATTTTAGTTTTGTTTAAAATAATAATTTATAAAATATTAGTAATATTTTATTTATTTTATAATAAAATAGTTTTTGTTGATAAGTAAATTAATTTTTATAATAAAAATTATGTAAAAAAATATTTGAATAAAAAATAAATATAATCTATTAAATTTATAACAAAAAATATATAAAATATTTAACAAATAAAGAACATATAAATTCTTTTTAAATTTGTTATAATAAATATTAATTTAAAAATATATAAAATTATAATAAAATAATTACAATTTTAAAATAAAATAAAATTTTAACTTACATATTAAATAAGTAATATTGAACATTATTACCAATGAAGGTTAATAGAAGTGGCAAGAGAGAAATGTTGACATTGAAGTTTGAATCTTCCCACGATCTTTCATTGGTATATAATATATAAATTCAAAAAATTTATAGGTGAAAATTCAATGATTTCGTAAATCGCAATTGGATTGGCAACTTGCCTTGGCGTTAGAGATAAGGTAACCCTTTTTTACTCTTAAATTTTTTTTAAAAAAATAAAATATTATTAATTTTATATATTACTTTATTTCAATAATAAAATTTTTTTTTTATATGAAAATTATATTACTCTCTAAGATAATAACATGATAACTTTATGTGATCCAAAATTATTATCATATAAAATTATCTAATACTTATCAAATATAATAATTCAATTATAATATATAATTTACTATAATTTTTAGAATAATTAATATATTGAGTATTATTAGTTTTATATATCATTTAATTTAAGTAACAAAAATTTTTATCTTTTTATGAAAAAATTAGATTATTTTATAAAATAATAATATGATATCTTTCAATGATCTAAAATTATTATCATATAAAATTATTCAATATTTATAAAATATTATGATCTAATTATAAGATATAAATCACTATAATAATTACTTTATTCCGAAAGGAGTGAGATTTTACCGCACAGAGAAGGAAAGATAAGAGAGTGGCCGGGGTGGTGGTGCCTAGTCTACGTCAACAAAAGTAAACGCTTTCAGTGCTATCTTTTCCAATCCAAGGGGTTTTTTTTTTTTTCTTTTCTTTAATTCTTAGATATTTTAGTAATGTATATGAATAAAGAAAGATGGCATGAATAATTGATGATGGAAAATCATTTCTGGGCAAGATTGGGATGTCGCTGGAATTTGCGATTCTGGTGAGAGAGAAGCGAAAGATGAAGATGGACAAGAGAAAATGATGCAATTGTAAAGCAAAAGAGACGTCAGAATCCCAAATCCCAAATATCATATGATAAAATTCACCACATAAGCAAGATCAGTGCTATAGTGAATACCAAATCATATGATCAAATGCCACATCATCAGATTTTGCAAAATCATATGATCAAAAACCACATCATCAAATTTAACAGAAGAAATTAAATATAGTTAATAATTGCATTGAAATTACAAATTTTAAAAAATAATTGTAAAGAAATTAAATTAATATTTTATTTAAAGTACAAAAATGGATAACATAATTTGATGTTATTAAATGAAAAAATTTTGCACTCATTCAATAAATCACACCATTATTGACACAATGGATTTTGAATCATCGTTAATGCATTTCATCAAAGAGTAATAACTGACAGTGGCCTACAACTCTCCCTATTTCCCAGATAACCTATTATTGTACAATTGGCCTACAACTCTCCTCTTGTTTACTGTATACCAAAGACGGTGTATTTTGAACCTTTGTAATTCCAGATGGATATATCCGTTTGCTTCGTTGCAATAAATTCGAAGTATGGCTTTACAGCTTACAGGGCATTTGCAAAAGCCAGTTGGCGCCTTGTTTTTAGTGGGATGGGATAGTATGTATATCTGGAGACTGGACAGCAATGCTTATTAGTCTGGCGGCGTTGGCCATCTTTTCCTCATTCACACCACTAATTTTAATTTTTTATATTACTACCAAGTAGTATGTATTAATATTTCTAGTAGTTGCATTTATCACGAACGAATACCTACTTGAAGAGTGGACGGCAAAAGATTGAGCTGTCGTAAAATGGAAAAACAGGTTGGATTTCAATCGATTTGCCATACATGCATGCAGTTCCATTTTAGTATGGGGCCACTGAGCTTCCATCTTCGATTAAACCATTGTACAATAACTCATTTTTTGCTCTTCTAAAGACGTCCAAAATTACATCTGAAAAACATCTGTAATATTCTCGCTTGTGAATCTCACCATATGAGACCATTCAACGTCTACAATAAATCAAACTACAAGCGCGGGAAGATGTAATCGGTAAACAAGGACAGTAATGTAAATAAAATATACATACATACATACATACATATATATATATATATGTCACTAGCTACCTAGCCAAAATCATTTCAACCAGATTAATATATTCCGCAGAATGCATTCAACAAAAAGATTTACACAACAGGACTCTCCCACCACCTGCATGCATGCATCGACCACCCCACTTCGTTTATGGTTCTTTTACTGGAGAAGGCCTGACAAAGGAGAAGTCATCTTCATTTTTCGCTTCCACATGGTGGGTTTCACGTATTTCAGTTGCTGGCTCATCATGATCCACTCTCATTATCAAATTGGTCGATGCGGGTGACAATGGTTCGGCTTCAAGATCAGACGTGTCATGATCTTCATATGTGTAGGATGAACGAGCTGAGTGACCGGTAGTTTTGTATCGATGAAGTGTGTGTCCAGTGGAATGGACTGTAGAACTTGGGCTTGCATTTCCACCCAGGGTTCTAGTGGGGGACTTTCCTGCCTTCCCATGCTTCTTTTTTGCAGCCATATGCCACTTCTTAAGGGCCTTAGATGTTTGCTCATCAAAGATGGACTTTTTCATGCTGGAACCCATCTGGAATTTATAAGCATCACTCATTTTAATTCTATCCCTACTGGATAGTTCACATTAAAGAAAACAACAGAAGGATCCAATTGTAGCATTTACTCGTGGAGGATTTGTATGACAAACAATTTTCAAAAGCAACCAAGTTTTAATCTTCCCTCCATTTGCATACATATTCAAGAAATTCCTAGAAGCTACTTTAATCAAAGATACTGGAAACAGGTAAGGCACCTGAGTTACTAGGGCATACAGCGGAAGGGTGATGTAGCTGCACAAACATAGAACTCCGACCCTGCAAAACAAAAAAAAAAAAGAAAAGAAAAAAAAAAGGAGCAACAATGAAAGGATTATTCCAGCAAACTATCATATTTACATTTGAGCTGCATAATATTACTTTTCACAATAGACTAATGGTACTAAAGCTTAGGCTTACCCCAAAGAAACTTTAATTATGACAAGCTTGAAATTAGAATGAAAACAAGATCTCAGCCCAAATGAATACTGCACAAGGAATTACTAAAAATATTACACATTTATACCAGACTTTCAGATTAGAAATAATGAAAAAAGAAGGTTAAGAAAAGCAGAAATAAAAGAGAGGGAGACAAGTTCCAAATGGGTAAAGTTAGCAGAGCTTAGTTAATTACCCAGATCCACAAGAAATAAGTTATCTGGAATGCATTCTGCCAAAAAGAAGAAAAAGGGAAAAATGAGCAAGAAAATAAATTAGGAAGTCACTAATGCAAGTAAAAAAGGACATGAGAAAAAAATTAGAAGACCTACCAAAATTTCCAGAAAATAGTTTAACAGGCAAAGAATGTCTATTACAAATCAGAATCAGACAGCAATTAATGCATGATAAAAATAGAATGAAAGACCTCTGATCAGTACTCCCCACATAAAATATTGTAAACAACTATGATAGAAAATAGCTCAAGGATCGAAACTGGTTCTCAACTCTCCTAAATAGTTATAGTAGGACTGAAAACTGATGAAATCTATCATGCAATACCATTTCTTCACATTAGAATCTTAGTTTGTGCAAAATTTGTGAATATGTAAATTAGTGGAAACATTAAAGTTTCCACTGAATATGTGAATCTGTTAAAACGAGATTGCTTGCCCTAAATGCAGGTGAAACGGCTATAAAGGCGTTGGATTGCCAGCCACCAGCAAGCATATAAGATATTAACTGCTGCCACCTCATGCAACAATGATGCATGCTGTGACACTAATCATGCCAAATTTGCATTAACCAAAGGACTCTCTAGTTAGGTTGACCTCCTATAAGGAAAACATAGACACCTTCAACATTAGCCTTTTTGTTTTTTTATTAAAACTGAGATACTTCATACATAAAGTAAGCAAGGAAGAATTCTTTTTCTAGTTTTTATTACAGTTACCATGCACCTAAAGTTATGATTCCAAACAAGAACACAGAATGTTAGGATTTTAAACCTGGATTCATTTTATGTTAAAGGACAGCTAGCCTTATATTCAATAATCAATTAAAATAGAGAATAATGAATACCTGAAACAATGCAAAATGAATTAGATGAAGAACTAATTGGGGTCGACCAAACCAAAAATATTTGTCAGAGCCTTGTACAAGAGGTATTCCCTGGACCACGGCATGCCTTTCTGTAATTTCAAGAGCCATCTTTGTCAAAATGGCTTGAAGCTTTGTCCCAACAGCTAAGATTATCTGTTATCAATGAAACATTTAGAACTTTGAAATCTTCTATAATAATTCTAAAGAAACTGTTATTAAGAAATATTTCTTACAATCACAGGAATAATGGATGCCCAAAACAATGCTTGCCACCCTGGAAAAGCATGTGTTATATTAGCAAACAGAATTCAGCTTCTAATTCAGTTTGAAATTGCAAAATTTTACTCTGAAAGGATCCCCTCAAGAAAAAACTTGCTCACCTCTGACGTTTAGCAGCAAGAAGACCACAAATGATGCCCACAGCACTGGACTGCAAAGAGGATAAACCTAGGTTCAGGTACACTAACAGCAAGGAATGTTATCCAATGTAACAGAAATATAAGTACCTTACTCCTACAACGATCTTGAAGTCATCCTCTAATGATCTTTTGATATATTTTTGGAAGTTAAACTTACTTCCGGGAGCTAAATGAACCTATAATACAAGTTTGAAATAGTCAGGAAGAAAAAGTCGAAAACCAACATCAAATACTGTTGACTTGCAATTGAAAGAAACTCACAGTGATAAATCCATTCCGCAATGTCATGTAGTCAACCTTCCCAACAGACCTGAAAAATTGTCGAAAGAAGCATCCCTGCAGTGAATGTCTAAGAAGATCAGTATTGTTTTAGAAAGGTAGCACATTGGAATACATACTCAAACCACAAAGGGAACCAAATAGTATTCAAGCAAGTTCATCTTTTTATTTTTTTATTTTTTTGAGAAATCAACTCAAGCAGCTTTATATGCACTAGCTGTGTTTTGGGAGTTAATCTAGTCTACCATAGCTCCAACTATGTTTCCATATTCATTTTACAATCTTTTCTTTTCTTTTACTTTCTTCATTTATCATACTCGACTGCATTCAACAAGACAATCACACCCAAATTTTCATTTTTATTCATTAACTGGTGCAACATCTTCTCCTAAATGCAGTTATTTCTTATAAGAAACAACCTTTCCTTTTCAATGGAACCTTTATGCATCAGCTTATGGCCACAACCAGAACCAAAATGGTTGCACTTGAATTTTCTGGTCAGTGTCTGGTCACTTGTACCTTCACCTTGTTGGTAGTTTAGAATGTGGTATATCCCACATTGAGTAGAAAGATCACTTATATATGATTTAAAAGAAATTACTTATGTTATTTAAGTAATTGAGCTAAGTGTTGGAGTGGGCCAAGTCATTTGAGCTTGCTAAGAGTTTTTCTAGTGGGTCAAACAATTTTAAAAGTCAAAGATAGGCATTTGGGGCACTTTAAAATTTTTATTATTATTATTATTTTTTATTTATTTCGGAATATTACTGATTCTGAATAAACATGTTTGAACAGTGAAAAAAATGATGGTACGAATAAACATATCTAAATAAGAAAACATGATTGTTTAAATAAAGTTTATTTAAACAATAAAACATGACTATACAAAATCTCATGACTTTTTGAATTGGCTTGATTGGTGAATGTTCATTTATTATAAATAGATCTTTTTGCTTGACCAATTCACTACTTCTGATTTAGAGAGTTTTAAGGCTTTGTTGTATCCTATAGGCAAAATTGCCTTATGATAATGTTCTTTACACCTCAAAGCCATATTTTCTTCTTTCTTACTATTTATGTTTTCTTAAATTTTCTAACAATTTAAAGGCAATTATAGATACTACATTTACTATTGTCCCTATTGCTACTATGGATTTGGAATCAAGCATGAAGGTTCATTTTCAAAATCAAGATATAATCAGACTTGATCGTTTTAATGGATCAAACTACACTAGGTGGAAGGACAAAATGGTTTTTTTGTTAATTGCATTGAAGATGTTTTATGTGCTTGATCCAAATTTGGAACCAATTCCAAAACCAACTCCTGAAGATTTTGATGCTGTTAAGGCAACAAGAAGCAAACGTGAAGAAGATGAACTAGTCTGTCAAGGTCTTATTTTGAATTCATTATCTGACCATCTATATGACCTATTCAGAAATATGAAAACACCAAAAGAGATATAGACTGCTCTTAAACACAAATACATGAACGAAAAGAAAGGTACGGATAAGTTTTTGGCTTTGAAATACTTTGAATTTTCAACAACTGATGACAAACCAATCATTGACCAAGTGCACGAGTTACAAATTCTGGTTTCTAAGTTAAGTGAATTAGAAATTAAGGTTCCTGATTCAGTTCAAGTTGGAGCTATTTTGTCAAAACTTACTCCTTCTTGGAATGGATATAGGAAGAAAGTTCTACATTGAATAGATACTTTCACTATTGAAGAATTTCATACTCACATATAGATTGAAGCGGAAAATCATGCAAGAGATGCACTCTTTCTTGGAGGTTCCAATGTGAATTATGTGAGTGAACAAAATTCTGGAAAAACTCACAAGTCTTTAGGTAAATTTCAAAACAATTTTAAAGTCAAAAGAATGGATTTAAGAAATCCAAATTTAACAAGAATAAAATGTGTTTCCATTGTGGAAAGAAAGGACATTTGATTAAAGATTGCAGATTTAAAAGTTATTATGATTGGTTCTAGTTATGACAACAAGGCAAATCTAGTTGAGCAAGAAATTAATGAACTTGTTGCAATGATGACTGGCATGCAAATTGGAATGACCATCGAAGTTCATATGGCTACTATAAATAAGTCATTTGATTGGTGGCTAGATTCTTGTGCAACAATTCATGTTTGCAACAACAAAGAGCAGTTCAAGACTTATGAAGAATGCAAGAAACCAAAAAACATCCTTATGGGAAATCATGTTCCTGCCAAAGTGATTGGAAAAGCAATAGCTGAATTGAAATTCACCTCAGGACAGAAACTAACTTTGCTTAATGTTTTTCATGTTCCTGAGATTAGAAAGAACATTGTATCTGCAAATTTATTATGTAAGAAAGGCTTTAAGATTGTACTAGAGTTTGATAAAGTTATAGTTTCCAAAAATGGTGTATTTATTGGAAAAAAATATTCCAATGATGGTATGTTTAAACTAAGCATTGATGAAATAAATAATGTTTCTGCTTATATGGTTGAGTATTTTCTTCTTTATGGCATGCTAGATTAGGACATTTAAATTATCATTATATGAATCATATGACTAAGCATGATTATATAACATACCAGAAAAATCATGGCATAAAATGTGAAATCTGTGTCAAAGCAAAAATGACTAAGAAACCTCTTCCTAAAGCTAAATGAAATACAGAATTGTTAGAACTCGTACATTCTGATATTTGTGAGTTAAATGGTTTATTAACAAAGGGAGGAAAAAGGTATTTTATAACATTTATAGATGATAGTTTTCGTTATACTTTTGCGTATCTAATGAGAACAAAAGATGAAGCTTTTGATAAATTCAAAGAATATAAATCAATTGTTGAAAATCAAAAGGAGAAGAAAATCAAAATTCTTCAAACTGATAGGGGTGGCGAATATTTTCCAGATTCATTTTCTCTTTTTTGTGAAGATAATGGAATTATTCATCAAAAGACAGGCCTTTACACACCTTAACAAAATGGTTTAGCTGAAAGGAAAAATAGAACCTTGGTTGAAATGGTAATTAGTATGCTGTTAAATGCTAAATTACCTCTAAATCTTTAGGGAGAAGCACCTTTAACAGCATGCCATATACATAATAGAATTCTTTCAAAGAAATTCTTAAAGACACCATATGAACTTTGGAATTACAGCAAAAAACCAAATTTGGATTATTTTAAAATGTGGGGGTGCATTGCCTTTTATAAAATACCTTATCCTTATAAATCAAAATTAGGACCTAGAGGTATTAAAAGTATTTTTGTTGGTTATGCACAGAATTCAAAAGCATATAGACTTCTTGATTTAAATACTAATGTTATTGTTGAATCTATTCATGTAGAATTTTTTGAAACTAAGTTTATATGTGATACTAAAATTGATATGAAGAAACAAATTGAAATAATTCCTACGACTGGAAATAAAAGAAAAGAAAGTAATGATTCTGTTGAACTTAGAAGGAGCAAAAGAACTAGAAAAGAGAATCTTTTGCCTTCTGATTTTATTTCTCCAATTTCTATAGTATTCCTAGTAGAAAGAAATAGAACCAAAGTGCTTAATAAAACACCAATTCTACTAAATGTAGATGAAGACCCTAAAACATTTAATGAAGCTATGACTTTAAGAGATGTTGCTTTTTGGAAAGAAGCTATTAATGATGAAATGGACTCAATCATGTCCAATAATACATGGGTTTTAGTAGATTTACCTCCAGGTTTTAAGCCTATAGGATGTAAATGGGTGTTTAGAAAGAAATATAATACAAATGGATCTGTACAAACCTTTAAAGCAAGATTAGTTGCAAAAGGTTTTAAACAAAAGGAAGGCATAGATTATTTTGATACATATGCTCCAGTAGCTAAAACAACATCCATTAGAGTTCTTATAGCTTTGGCTTCCATTTATAAATTACATGTGCATCAAATGGATGTTAAGACAACCTTTTTAAATGGTGACTTAAAGGAAGAAATATACATGGAACAACCAGAAGGTTTTATTCTTCCAGGTAATGAGAATAAAGTTTGTAAATTAATTAAGTCACCTTATGAGCTAAAGCAAGCTCCTAAACAATGGCATGAAAATTTTGATTCAACCATAGAAGCCAATGGTTTTAAATATAATGGAATAGATAAGTGCATTTACTCAAAATTTACTAAAGAATATGGAGTTATAATATGTCTCTATGTGGATGATATGCTAATTTTTAGTACTAATATGATTGGCATAAATGAAACCAAAAGGTATCTGATTTCTAACTTCAAAATGAAAGATTTAAATGAAGTTGATACCATTTTGGAAATTAAAGTTAAAGATATAACAAGGGTTTCGTACTTAATTAAAGTCATTATATTGAGAAACTATTAATAAGTTTAAGTATCTTAATATAAAAAAAGCCAATACTCCATATGATACAAGTATAAAATTAACAGAAAATCAAGGTTATGTAATTGCACAACTTGAATATGCTAGTGCTACTAGAAGTATTATGTATGCTATGCATTGTACTAGGCCAGATATAGCTTTTGCTGTTTGCAAGTTATCAAGATATACATGTAAGCCTAGTATAAGTCATTGGAAAGCCATAGGAAGAGTCCTAGGTTATCTTAAAAGAACTAAAGAATTTGGCTTATTTTATTCTGAAGATCCAACTGTTTTGGAAGGATATTCAGATGCAAGTTGGATCACTAGTATAAGTGAGAATAAATCCACTTCAGGATGAATGTTTACCTTTGGAGGTGGTGCAATTAGTTAGGCATCCAAGAAACAAACTTGCATTTCACATTCAACTATGGAATCTGAATTTATAGCTTTAGCTGCAACAAGCAAGGAAGCTAAATGGCTAAGAAATTTATTAATTGATATAGAGTTGTGGCCACAACCAATGACAGCCATTTCCTTGTATTGTGATAGTGAAGCTACTATATCTAGAGCTTATAGTGAAATTTATAATTGAAAATCTAGACATATTAGTCTAAGACATGATTATATAAGAGAATTGATAAAAAAATGGAGCAATTACCATAATATATGTTAAATCTGCTAACAACTTAGTAGATCCTTTTACCAAGGCGCTACCTAGAAATTTGGCAAAAAGCACCACAAGTGGAATGGGTTTAACATTCCTTTTAAACACCAATAATGGGAACCTAACTTTGAATTAATAACCTCTAATTGCAAAGTTTAATAGGTAACAAGTTATTTTTATGTGTCTGTAAACACTAGTCAATCTATTCTAAATATTTGGAATACTAGTGTAAGCCATTGCACAAATGGAGGATGAGATTGAACTCTTAATGGAGTTTATAATTAAATGTCTATAACAATGGAGACATAAACAAAAAACTCCACCTATATAAACATAGAAGTGCCGCTTCAACAAGAAAATTGAAACTTTCTTGTAAATGTTTATGAATAAGGATAAACACATGACCATAATAAAGCTAAACCCGTTATAAACCTCTAATAGAATATTAAATAAGTATTATGTATGTTATATCTTCAATTTTAACATTAAGAGTTGCGGTTTAATCTACGAACACCATCAACTTTGTTAGAATTCTAAGGTATATATGGTAATTGGAGGTTTAAATCGAAAGATACCTTCTTGTATTCATAATATTTATTTATGTGAAAGGTTAAAGATTAAGCACCAACATTCCAAATTGGTGGGGATTGTTGGTAGTTTAGAATGTGGTGTATCCCACATTGAGTAGAAAGATCACTTATATATGGTTTAAAAGAAATTACTTATGTTATTTAAATAATTGGGCTAAGTGTTAGAGTGGGTCAAGTCATTTAGCCTTACTAGGAGTTTTCCTAGTGGGTTAAACAATTTTAAAAGTCAAAGATAGGCACTTGGGCACTTTAAATTTTGTATTATTATTATTTATTTATTTTGAAACTTTAAATTTTGTATTATTATTATTATTTTTTATTTATTTTGAAATATTACTGATTCTAAATAAACATGTTTGAACAATGAAAAACATGATGATATGAATAAACATATATGAACAGGAAAACATGACTGTTTAAATAAAGTTTATTTAAACAATAAAACATGATTATACAGAATGTCATGACTTTTTGAATTGGCTTGATTGGTGAATGGTCATTTATTATAAATAGATCTTTCTGCCTGACCAAGTTCACTACTTATGATTTAAAAAGTTTTAAGGCTTTGTTGTATCCTATATGTATAATTGCCTTTAAGATAGTGTTCTTCACGCTTCAAAGCCTTATTTTCTTCTTTCTTACTATTTCTGTTTTCTTAAATTTTCTAACACACCTTATTAAATAAATTGTACCCTTTTTGCTAGTTAAAAGTACTTACAATGTAAAAGAAGAAAGGAATCCTAGTCCAAAAGCTGGTGTGGGCTTTCACAAAAGATGTCTCATGAGTAAGCCTGAATCGGGAAGGATCTACAAAAACAACCATGCATCAAGGTTAGCTTCCAAGATGCAACAATTAAAGTTGGGAAATTAGGTTCAAGATTGACAGTAGAAGTTTTAAAGCTATAACATCCACTAGAAGCAGTTCCGCGTGGAAAAATATACCATTTGAAAACTCATAGTCATGAGACAAAGTTTCCTGCTCCCATACCTTCCAGCCACGGATCTGTTCAAAGCAGCTTTTAATTTAAAAGATTATACTTATCTTTAAGAATGCATCTAGTAGAGAGCAGAGGATCCAGTACAACACACACAGATAAGACATGATTTAATTACCTTTAGTCTCCCAAGCATCATAGTAACAAAACTATATAAAACATGAAAAACTGCTAGGAAGAATATTAGGATGTGCAACTCATGCAACCCTCCAGTGGATATAAGCGGTTCATGCCCCTGTAGAGAAAACCTAGTTAGTTACAGTTTCAAGAAGACAGAAATTTATGTTGTAACTCATACTAAGACCAAAAGCAAATTATAAAGTTCCTTTGAAAATGAACAAATAAGTGATTAGGAAGATTAATCCAGAAATGTGAACAAGAGAAGCCACCATATAGCAGTAATTTGAAATGCAATAGCAAGATGTAGGAGGATGACTTCATGAATCTTAAAGGAGTGTAAGGCTTTTGTTTTTAATTACAAATGGTATCTATAACAACAGTTTCAATTTGTAAATCATCAAACAAGTTCCACTTCAATAGCTTGTACAACTGAAGTTGAATAAAATGACAAAAAAATTATTATTAAGTCAAATTGCAGAGTCCTATATTGTGACCTCAATTCTTGTATAAACAAATGTTTTAGTGTACTCACTGGTGGATCAGCACAAGTAAGCATATTATTTCAGACAAAATCAGAAACAACAATCTTGTAGATGCATTTCAAGAGAAAAAAGGAAACTGAAATTTTGAAATTTACTTATCTGTTAATAGTTACCGGTCTTTCCAACATATCCATACAAGAAGCAGAAGTAATTGCTTAAACTTATTTATAGTATCTTTCTTCAGAACAGCACTATTTCATTTTCTCTGGAGCTGTTATGAGAGGCAGGCAGAATTTGGCATGCCCCATCCACAAGTTACCATACATTGTTGGAACTTTGCAGAAGGCTGTTTATGTCGGTCAAGGCAAGAAAAGACAATATGCCTTCTAGATACAGTGGATTCCATATAGTTCGTCATTGGTCTGCCTTGCACCCAACCCCTTCCCAAATGAAAATTTCAAAATTTTTTGACTATGTTGTCAGTAAATTATTTCTTTAGTTTGTGGTCAAAATAAGGTTTTTTTACTTTTCAACCTTCTACACATGAACATAAAACCATGTCTCGGACGTTTGCAGAAAAGAAAATTGGCAACACATGCAGCTCATAACATTCAATTGCAACAAATAATTATTAGTTCATTATTACTAATAATAATAATAAAACCAAACTACTTGGACATCAATGCATGTTGGCATAGGCTCACCTCCTTGCATTTAGGAGCAGTTGCAGCAGAAGCCAAAATTCTATGCTCAAACCACAAGAGTCTTCGACGGTGTTCTTCGCTGTCCTGCTCACTCTTAGCTTTGCAAGGCAACATAGTATTCGCAACATTTTCAGGGATACAGATTCTGGCAATAAAGCTCTGGCCAAAAGTGAGGAGCAGGGAAATGAAACCCAGAACCATAAGCTCTGCAATAATCATGTGGAAGGTCAAAGTTTTTTATTGGACAAATAGTGGTATATCATAAAACCATAATAACAGCAGTGGGGGAAATGAAGATAAATCCAACAAGCAACATTTAAAAACCAGTTTTCGGCAATCAAAAGCAGAAAGCGTAACATGAGTAATCATAAAAAACAAAATTCAGGACTTACCAGCTTTAACCTTGTCCAAGGCTTCGTACAGGGCTCTCTTGTGCCTCGCTGTGAACCACTGAATGCCACAAACAGGTTGTGGTGGCAGAGGCAGTATTAGAAAGCTAAGCATATTTCAATGAAAATACCAACACAACACTGTACCTTTCATTCTCTCCAGTGAAATAGGGAATTGTTTTGCAAAAGAATATATATATCTTTAAAATTGGAAAAGAAAAAGGCATATTTTTTTTATTGCTATTTGCTTTTTCCCAATCCATTACAATTTTTTGATTGGTGCAGAAATGATACAGTTTAGGAAACAGGCCAGAAAAATAGAATGGAAAAGAAAGATACAAGATTTGCTGGCAAAGTATGAAACTGAAGAAGTGAGGTAGGGAAATAAGGAAGAAAACTCATTTATGAAATAACAAGAAACGCAGAATTAAAAGGAAGTAATAAAGTGTAATCAATAACAAGTAAAGTAATAAAGAAAAGGGAAAAAAGGATTACCGTGCCAAGTTTGTGAAGAACCTTTTCCAAGAGAATAGAAATGATGATGATAACAGCACAAACCCCAGCCACCGCCCATGTAGGTGTCTGATCAAGCTTTCTCTCCCCTGAACTCTCGCTTGCCCCCATTACTAGTCTTTCTCCCACTATTAACCAAACCCACAAACAGTACCATAGCAACAACCGCACCATTTTTTTGTTTCCTTCTCTGGGTTTAATAGGAAGGAAAGGAAATCCAAGACAGGTCACAGAGAGAGAGAGAGAGAGAGAGAGAGAGAGATAAAAAGCAAAAGGAAAGAGAGGGTATTGAGATTGGAATTGTATTGAAGACAAAAATATTTCGCTTTCCTGAAATTTATACAAAGCAGTGGTAGTGAATATTACACTAGATAAATAGAAGAAGAAAAAAAATCAACTTTGTTGCTGTTGTTAAAAAGAGAGAAGAGATATTGGAAGAAAGAAAGAAGGCTCAGAAGATGCAACGACCGCCCAGGACCCGATGCTGCTCCAACAACTCAATGTTAAATAACTATGACCACCAAAACGCTTCGGAGTTCCATCCACAGAGATAGATTTTATTGAACAATTTCTAAACACCAACGTTTTTTAACTATATAATTTGAAATAACCATGTATTATTTCTTTGCTTTTATTACTGATCTTGGATAGCGGTTTTGGAAAAGAGAAATTCAGTTGATACAAAGAGTATAGAAGTAAAATTTGGAGACGGTAAATTAATGTTAGTTAAGGAATAGAAAGAAGAAGCGCGTATGTTTCAGACGTCCATCCAATCCTGGCGTTGATTAAGTCAAACTTGTCCGAATGTAAACATAAGTCAAGTTGTCTAAGCCACATTCAATTTAGCAATAAAAACTCTTGTCGTTTTCTAATTTTCTTGTTTCAGGTTTCAGTTTGGCGCGTGAAGTACATTAATTAATCATTTCTCCCGCCAAAGTGCCATTCATTTAACCTCCCTTTGACTTGAGCCTCGATTCCTCTGCTTTCTTTCTGTGTTTCCTTGTGAACACCACGAAATAAAAGCATTTTCTTGTGTTGAACTCTGAATTAAATCTTTCGTGTCCTTCAATTTTTGAGTTTAGAGGACCCTTTTTCTCATACTCGCGTTGCATTTGCGTGTGGGACGGACGGTGTCAATGTCATCACCCTTTCAGTCCAAACAAAATTGAAACTTTCAACTCTCAAGAATTCTTCCTTAAATTACCGTATGTGTACGACATTATTGCAGAATAGTACAGTATAATATAGTATCATAAGTCTGATGAGATTCCTTTGGTTTCCAGGAAGAAGCAAAGCAAGCAATAAATCAGATATTAATTTGGGGAGTTGGGAGCATTAATTTTTAAGGCTCTCGCTGTTATATATAAAAATCCTCAATAATAAATAAAATAAAATTGTATGTATGCATATATAATGACATGGGAATATGAATATGTTGATGGAAATGTCAAGGTTACTTAGGATGTGAATCTTAATTATAATTAATTTCCATATTATAATATAGATATATAGTAATATATACACTTACAAAAACCACAGCAAAGCTTCTTTCTCTGCATTGTACGGTATAAGCATACATGCATGCCTAACCAATTTCAAGCTTCTACTACTAATACTACCATACAAGCCTTTACAATTGTAATTTGATGTATGTCTGCGATCCTTCCTTCAAATCTCTGATATGTCCGCCAGCGACACCTCTTAATATAAAAAGCAGAAATGAAAAGCATTAAAATAAAAATAAGTTGTTAGAGCGGTGGCCTGGGGTTGGTTGGTGGTTGTGTGTCAGGTCACCTAGGCTGACCCACCCCCCTTCTCCGCCTTCGCGGCCTGCTTTGCTCTGTTATGCCCATTCACTTGCTTAGCTATGAATCATGAAATACTAGTTTTCTGTTTTCTATTTTAATTACTCTATATTATATTTGTTTGACTTAGTCATATTTTATGAAAATTACTCCCATATATGGATATTCTCTATGGACACATCTCAATCTCATCCGATGCGTGCTGAGTCAGCATTGAATACTAAGCCTTATCTCCTGCTCTTTTAATTATCTGCAACCTTTTTACAATCAATCATGGATTAATTTTGTTTAAATTTACATCAATACATTTTCTCATCCTCTTAATTTTTTTATTTGAAATTATCAAAATTAAATATTAAAATAAAAAAATTAACACTCAATTAACAAATCACTTAATTTTCTAAACTCAAACAATGCTTATATATAATGAATATTTTATTTCATAAAACCAATCAATGGAGCTTTCCAAGCCTGCTTGTTTACAAATGAAATATGAACCACACCATTCATTATTATTTTATTTACTATTGTTGGTGATCATTCATACCTATAAAAATAAACTTCATCTCTACGTTAGTTGTTTTACTCTAGACTAATTGCAATATTATATATTCATCAAATAAAAATTCCAATAATTTTTTTTAATTTATGAGATAATTAAAAAATATACAAAAATTAATTATAATTATAATCATAAAATGATCAAGAAACTAATACTTCCTGCAATATTATACTTAGTAGAAAAGTAAGATTAAACAAATAAATAATTGTCATTAAAAAGAAAAATTATTTTTCGGTGAGCTGAACGCGGGTCTTTAGCATGACATGGGTTCCGGGAGAAATTAAAAGAACAACATGGCATAATTAAGACTATGGTGACTTCTGGTGTGCCCAAGCGTTCACATGACAGAGTCAACTTTGGTTGACGGTTTTTTTTTTTTTTAATGTACAAGTATAATAATATTGTAAGTTAAAGCAATTTTGTAATTATAAAGGTATGGGTTGTATGGCTTGCGGGGGGGGGGGGGGGAGTTGAAGATCCGAGGGAAGGGCCTATTCCAGTCTTCCTATGTTTGATTTTGTCTATTGAACATGATTTGAATTGAATCATTGAAGTTAATTCGGAGTGGTGAATGTATAATGACCAAATTAAGGCATTAATTAGGCAGTAATTCGCATTAATATTGCTGCATCGTCCACTTTCCTTCATGTTACTAATTTTAAAGCTTTGATGGGTCAACAACTCCGCCATTATATATATATATATATATATATATCATCAAATATATACTTTGTCTAAAGTAAGTTATAATTTCAACGCGTGCATGTGGATTAATTGATATAAGGTTAAAATAATTTTTTTTTAATTTATCATTTTATTTAGATAAAATCATTATATTTTTATTAAATTTAAATAAAATTTTTATTTTTATTTACATTCAAATAAGCAATTGATTTATCCAAATAATATATTAACATTTAATTTGCACTTAAAAATCTCCTTAAGATAAATTAATTTTTTTATTTAAAATAATGATTTATTTAGATACAAATAAAAAATTTTATTTAAATACAATAAAAATATATAAACATATTTTAAAAAATAAAATAGATCAAAAACTTTTATTATTTTAGCACTGATATATTTGTAGATTGCGGATATATAGTTTAATATGTCTATTGGTTAGATTTCTGAAGATTATCAATTTGATTTATGACTTTTTCACTTACATGTATTGTCAATTTTTTTTTTTCACTTATAATTAGGTAATTCACTGCCGTTACCAAAAGGGATAACAATGTTAAAAAATAAAAGGTAAGGGTAATTTTATAATTTCATTTATATTCTACTTGATTTTAACACCATTATCCCTTCTGGTAATGGAAATTAACTATAAAATTTTTACAAAGGATATAAGTGAAAAAGTTACAAATCGCAAAGAGTGCATACGAAGTTTTCTCGAAAAAAATGTATTTAAGAGTCAAAATGTTTAGTTTATCATTATATGTTATTTTATAAAAGAAGGTTATAATTAAAAAAGGAATACCGAATGAATCTTTTCTTTGTTTTTCTACACTTTCTTTTACATTTTTTATTAATTAATTAATGAATCATTATTTTTTTTTAATTTTCTTTTATTAATTTTAATTTTAATTTTTTTTATTAATTTTAACTATCTAAATAAGAAATAAAACGTATCATTTTTTTTTCTTTAAAAAACTTTCATTTTGTTTATTTTACTTTTCATTTCTTTCCTTTACTAATGTTATCCAAACATAAATTAAGGTTTAAGGATAAATTAAAATGAGTTAATTTTACAAATAAAATTATAATAAAATATTTAATATGATACTTAAATTTTAAAAATTTTAATTATAAATATATTAATTAATATAGTACTTAAGATTGTTTGTTTTTCATGTGTCATTATATACAATTAATCACATTAAAAGTGAGTATCATATTAATTATAAATTTATAATTACACACATTAAAAAATTTAAATATAACATTGAATATTTCATTATAATTGGAGGATAATTTATAATATTAACCCAATTAAAATTTAAAAAAATAATAGTCTGAACAGACTAGTGCAGCAATCAGAGTAGTTCATCATGGGATATTGTTCCCTCGTGACATGAAGAAGACTATGTTTGAGGAGCAGACAGCTAGCGAAGGCTCTTAAGAAGGGGCAAAAGACGACAAAAGAGAGCAAGAAGCAAAGGAGGAAGGCAGGATTCATGAGTGGATAAATCAGCACAAGAAGCCAAGACCATGGTGGCTCATCATATTATACATATAGCTCAAATAGTAGTTAAAATATAGAGTAAAAATAAACATGTACCACTACATTTTATGGTTGTTTAAAAGTTGACATATACTTTTAAACCATTATGTGTTTAAAGTTTGAAGACACTTTTTGCCTTGTGTTTTTGCAAACAAATAATGGAATTTAGATTTTGGAGGCTAGCTACACTTTGTAATATAAAAAAATAGAGAGAAAAAGCTCATGGGCTGCGTCTGTAAAATTGGGTTAGTTATTGGGGCCGAGGGAAGAAGAAGAAGAAGAAGAAGAAGGTATTTAAGGTTCATTTTAAACCGACAGGCATATGTGGAAAACCCAGCATCAACATTGGCCCAATACAATTGTGTTTTTTAACGAATGGAACGAATGAATAGCACAGTAGCAGTAATCAAAGTGAAGGCAGAAGGGTAGAGGATAATTGGGTTAACTTGTGAAAATCAAGCCAACAATGATTGTTATTCCAACTTCATTCGTCCCCACGGAAAGCCCTCCAACTCAGCTGATTTGAGTTTTATTTGTTCGTAATCTCTTATAATTTCAGTTTTTTTTTTGTCTTTTAACTTCTTTTGGGTAGAAAACCTTTGTTACTATTACTTTACTGTGCATATATATATATATATATTGCTGGGTTTATTTTTTTGGATGGATTAATTTTTCCTTTTTTTTTTTTTTGGCAGTGGTCGTAGTCCTTGGCATATTAATTAGGTACAACGCTATGAATCGTAGATATACTAATTTCTTTGAATGCCAGCAAGCATTCTATGCTTTTGACTTATTCTTTGGGAGTTAATTTGCTAAAAGAATTTATGAATATATATATATATATATGGGATGTTGATAATATATATTGGTTCTTGTTCTTCCTCCAGGGCAGCAGAGCTATGCATTAATGTGAACATTAGGCCTAGTCTCAGTGTCTCAGGTCAGTAATATCTCTTCCAAATACCACTAAAACCCCACATTCTGTCCGATGGAGCTAGGTATGTATGTTTATGTATGTATATCTTACTTATGCTAACTCTACACACTTTCTGTTTTCCCGTCACTCATATATAATTCTTCTAATATTCTTACAAGTTACAATCCCTTGTTCTGAATTTTTATTCGTGTGGATGCTTCTCATCCTGTTCTTTACTGTGAACATCAGAGGGAATGGTGGAGCACCAACTAGTGCAACTTTTTCATTGGTAGCTTTCTTTTGGGGTA